GACAACTGTTCGTTTAGTTTCTCATTCTATCACAGAAACAACAAATGACACAATGTTGGACGCGAGCATATCACAAGGTCATTCTACTTTTACCGAATTATTTTTATTTAAAATTCAACTTGACACCCATTGGTCTTCTCATTTAATCAAGAACTTCATCAATTTTTTCTGAGATGCGCTCTTGCATCCAACATCCACCCTTCACAAACTACATAACACCCTCGCTAAATAAACTAATGTGATACTGTACATATCACTTGGGATATATGGATTTTATCAACCTTTCCAGCATAGACTTGGCTGATATGCATTAAAATAAATTCAAAATAGGCAAAGTTTTGTGCACTTGTTCTGCCATTATTGTTAGAGTAGACAACATAGGTCTTCTAAAGAGCATGCGCATAGTAAACATATAATTCTATTACTTGATGTTTTTATTCTATAATGTGTTATATTATTTTATTCATATCACATTTAGTAAGCGTAATTATGTAAACATGGCATTTTATCTAATCACTACACTATGTATTTAACCAATTTAATATTGTTCATTCAGTGAGCATGAATTACTCAACTACAGATAAACAGAACATTACAGCATATTATGATATTACTAGAACGACATCGACTAAAACTGTCGAAGAACACACCACCATGACAAAGTACACCCCTAAATTCACGACAACATCAAGTATTGTATTTTTTTATTAATTTATTTTTTTTTCATTTAAAAATGGGGAAAACAACAAAAATTTACTAAATATTATATTATTATTATTATTAATTGGTACATAAGCTATGAGTCGCGTATTTGTGTGAGACAATGATATTTCTTCTTAGATATTCAAATGCTTCTCCCGTTATGACCTTATCTATGACTGAATGTTTAATTCGAGGATCTGTTAATAAATAGATATTTACGAAAAAAAATTAGAAATTTCCTAAAATTGAAAATTTTACAGACAGAGAAGTTATTTGAAGGCACAATGAAATACAAATATAAATTATTTCTCTCTCGATATATGTTATTTGACGATGAATTGTAAGACTTTTAAAAATGATAAATTTTAATAAATAATATGATTTAATATATTATTTTTTCAGATATGTTGCAATTAAATTTACTTAGTTGTCATTAAAAAAAAGAATAAATTTTATCAATCTTCTTTTCTACTACAAATTTTGGAAATCAAAGTTTAACAACTGTTTTTCACAGAAAAATGTGATGTTATCTACAATTCAAAATGCTTTCGATCAATTGTTTCTGAGAATATTAACGTGTCGTACAGTGATGCAATAAGTATATGTGCAAATAATTTAGCTAATATTTATGACAATGAACACTACGAACTGCTGCTTAATAGTTTACGCAAAAAGATACCTACGGGAGTGACATACATTCGTGTTTGGACAGGCCTCACGTACGAAGTTAGTATGGCACTTTCAATAAGTCTGAATAATAATAACTTTTCATATAAAGAATCCTAGAAGAATTTAGTAGTTTACATGACATGGTCTAAAGTGCGTTACCGGTATCAAGAACCCTCCGACTTTTGCGTAGCTCGCAAATTCAAAACTAAAGACAAAAGTCACTCGCTCGGCTGTTTAAAAACCGTGTTGTCATTAAAAAATTGAAACAGAGATATTTTGGATGAAATATCAGATCTTATAGAATTTATAGAAAATTTAGGAATTAATAAAAGTAATGGCCTTCGAGCGAAAAACAATCTTTAAACACTGAAAATTTTAAAGAAATTGGTGCAGTAATTAAAGAGGAAGGCGATTTTTTAATAACAACAGGAAGTAAAGAATGACTAACAATATAACAGCAACAAAATGACAAAACGATTCATAGGTCCACCCTAGGTCTAGTAAGTAAGTCCTGTTTCCCACGGAATTCTGGAGAAATTATAGATTATTGTTCAAAATGAAACACAAATGTAGCGTGATAAATAACGTTGTTGCTATGATATTGCACAAATAAAATCCGATTTCGGTATTGTAATTCGTGTATCTTTTATTTGTAGAACGGTCAAATATTGATGTCATCTGGTAAAACAATATCTCTTCCGTCAGAATTATGGTATCCCACTAATCCAGTGGAAGGTGAATCCCGTGAAACATATGTCCACATTCTCCTTCGTGTCAACAAGAATCGGAATAGCGAACTTCAGGGAATGTTTAATCAACAACAAACTAAGCAATGGCGAGGCGTCATTTGTGAGACATGAGATTGTATAAATACTGAAAATACTTTTTCCAATTTATTGTAAAATAAATTTCACTACTAGCTGACCTACTAGATATCAGTAACAGTAGCAATCGTGTCGCTAGTTATATATTCCAGTATGCTCCACAGCTTTTTATTTTAGGTTTTTTCTTTCCAATTTTCTAGGTGGTAAGTATGGTTGCTTGTCTGTAGGTCGTATTAGAAAAAATATGAGTGTGCACCGCAAAAAAAACGTTATATCTTTTAGCAGCACTCGGATTAACATATGTCAAGTGCAGTATGTTAGGTAATGTTTACGTGGCATTTAACCCATTTTTTCGCATATGCTTAGTTTTTTTCAATTTTGTTCCAAGTGGTGTTCTAAACATTATATGTTCGTGTTCAAAGAAAGATATATGAAAAACAGAACATTTTGCAAATAATTCTTCGTTGATACCTCGTACGTTTCCAAAAATTGAAATGAAGTTTGAATATTTTCTCGGGCAAGAATAAATTTTCAGTATACCGACAAAATCAGTAAGATAGTCAATGCATATCTTAAAACTATGACAAGAATAATGTATACGTTGGTCTAATCGAATTACCGAATAAAAGTCATTATTTATAGATGACTAATAATGAAACATCATAATTTACAAGTAAAATATAAGTTTCAATATATTTTCAATTTATTTAATAGAATCTGCGTATTCTTCTATAATAGATCGCGTAGATTCCTCATTTTGTTTCCCTCAGAATACTTTTATTTAATGTGATTACTTTTATCATCATTGAACATTTTCACCTTGTGTTGTGTAGAAACATATAAATAGAATTGCTTAATGTTCAATAAAATTTTTAACACTATGTGGGGTCATTTTGAATTTTCTTGTTATCAATTTTCTGAAAGGATAATGTAGGATTTTGTGTAAGGATAATGTAGTGTAAAGTAAGCCGAACGCAGCGTAATACTACTCCATGTCGGGTATGAAGAAAGCTATCCACCAGATAGTGAAAGTATTCAGCTTTATTTGTCTCAATATACATTTTTACATAATTGTTTCAAATCCAATATATTTCTATACAAATCTAGAAATAAATATCTGTGTTTTTAAAAACGATTTATTTTGTTTATATGTTATAAACCTTTTTTTTTACTTATTATCCCTTCTATATTAGTTGATTTTGATTCGTTCAATCAAATTTCGAAGTTTTTGCTCTGGTATTTTCAATGAGTAATAGCGCGGTTACTACGCAAATTTTTGATATATCGAGTAGTTATCATACCCCCGCTTCACCAGCCTAGATGAACTAAATAAATGAAAAGCAATTTTTTATCTTTCGTGTAATGGGAAAATGAAATGAAATGATATAAATGAAAAACACTATGAGGGAGATATTCTCCAAATATAAATTAGGCAAGTACATCCTGGTATCATATTTGCAGGATGCTAAAACGATTTATTTTACAATTATCAAAACTTGAAAGATTGTTACATTTTTGAATATTTAACTAGAGTTTTCACTCAAACGAATTGTAATAAAATGATTAATAGGAAGTATGTGAGTGTTAGCTTCTTGAGAATTAGAAACTCATTATCTAGTATATATATATATTAAAATAATTGCTCTGATCAAAAGTAATTACTTTTGGGAATATATTCCTATACCGCTTTGCTATTACCTTATTACTACCCATTTAACGTGGATTAGTGCACAGGTTCCCAAAGTGCTCCGTACGGGGAACCCAGGGGCTCCGCCAGCTATTCGGTTACTTTTCAAAACACTGACTTGACTTATTTTGTAACTGTTCTAATAATGATAACAGCTTTGATCAAATTTGACAACAATATAGCCTCGAAATATAGAAAAAAAGGCGGAATTAAAAAATGACATTATTTATAAGCTGTAGCGCAGTCAGGATTTTTAAGAGGAGGGGGGGGAGTAATCGGAAATTTCCGCGCAACATTCTTTGCGATTAAATAAAAACGGATAACGAGATTTCTGTTGCGTAAAATATTCAATCCATGACCGATGCAAGCTTTAAAGTGTCTTGTCGTAATAATTATGTGATTGTGCTCATCGTTACTCACGTTTGATTCGAGATTACTATTAGAATTACTAAAATGAAAAAATACTATTCTAAAATAACATAAAATCCGTGATAAACTGCCAACTATAAATAAGGTCGTATTTTTGCGATCTTGGGATTTATCAAACTAGATTTGTTCTTTCGCACTCGAGATTATTTTTAAGCAAGATATCGCCGTTTAAAAATCATAGGGTCTGGGCAAAATACGATTGATTGAAATTTATTTTATTGCATGCGGCTCCGCCAGTAGTTTCAGAATGAAAAAAGGCACTTCGCGCGCACAATTGACTGTGTTTCGATTTCGCAGTTACCGGTACTATGATGAATAACCAAAGAAAAAATAACATATCACCAAATTGTGCAATTTACGATGCCTATGAAAGCGTTTTTAATCTGACATTAGTCTGCTGAAACCTAAATTACAGTGTGATATTCAATTCTAAGTTTTAATATTTTAGAATGCCCTTTTTCAAACAGGAAATTTGAGCTGCGGATTTACCTCTTTATTACTTATTATTTTTATCATTTCCTCGCCGATGACTATAATATGGTAACATGTTTTTCACATTGAACTCATAATTCCCCACGAGAACAAAAAAGCTATTATCGTCGTCATTGTGGAACAATACATATATATGCCCAGGAAAATTTTTCATTTAGGGAGAATACACACCGGCGTAAAGATGCAAAAAAAAAAGAGCAATGCTGACGAAAGCCATTGGCAATTGTAACAAAATACAATGGCGCACGTTATTAGCGGCTTTTTAAGTCTTCCAAAAATGTCAAAAAAGAAAAGATTCGACCCCTAATTTATTAATATATTTGTCAAGAGTCCAATTTACAGCTTTAATATACATAATTTATCTTAGAAATTTAGATTTATTTATAACTTGTATTAACCCTATTAAAAAGGTTTAGCATTTAAATAATGTAAAGTACTTTTAACTTACTCAATAATATTAATCGGAAAGTAACAATCATAACATTTCTTTTGGGGCTCCGTGAATAATAGCCAACCTTTTCAAGTGCTCCGCAACACCAAAAGTTTCAGAACCCCTGGATTAGAACACTGAAATCAAAGAAGATATTACACAAAAAATATTCTAATTAGAATCTAAATGTATGTACGAAACCGGGCAAGTATATTATCTAACGTTCTAAATTTTTTCGATATTAAACAAAAATTTTTTACTATAATTTCAACTTTAATTGCAAACAGAGTGTTTTTACTTTCATAGTATTTTCACGAATTTCATGAACTCAACTACAAAATGTATGTGACTGTATAATGGTTAAATATCCAAATGGTTTTGTATACACTTTCAATTCTTAAATATTTTAATTTTAATTAACTAGTCCAAATAATAACGTGTTGAAAATTGCAAAAATAGTGACAGAATAACAAAGAAGTATTTAAACGCTCTAGTCTTGAATGTTGCGTTGCATTCGATCCATTTCAAAGATTAAAGGCTTTTGTTTTAGTTTTTAAATGGTGAATGGCAAAGGATGAAACAAGCGTTATACTTTTCATATTTGGCAAATGACTCCGGCTTGTTTGTTGTCTGATTTGTCGAGATAATAGTCTATGTATCCGACTCTGTTGCTTGCAGGATTTGACTCTGAACTAAAAAGAATCGCTGTTCTTCCTGTTGATGCGTCTGGATAACTTGAGTGCCAATACACGTGAGGTGCCAAAGTCCCATCAGAAAGTGTAACTTGTCTAGTCTTGAAAAAACACGGATAAGTTTTATTGAACGCGTCTGCCTTCCGCAATGGTTAAGACCAATTCCGATCATTGTAAATGTAGACAATTCATTAAAATGTGTAACTAACGCTATTTTAAATAGAAACAAAAAATGATGAAAAACAACAGAAAACATTTTAGTGTTTTCGTTTGTAAATTACATATAAAAGTTTGTATGTACATACATATAATGTGACTCATCTAAAGTTTACGCAGAGTAATCGAATACTTGTTCAGTATCGCCGAAGCTATAATAATAGAAGGAAATTAGACCTTTTAATTTCACAAAGGTGTAATAAAAGCCACGGCAATTCAGAACTCGAAATTATCAACAAACAATTCCGCCATTCTTATATCATTTTTTCTTATATTATTGCGAGGTAACAAATTTTCCCATCGAAGCCTGCTTCAATACAAACCTTGGTATTAAAATTCATTCCTGTCCAAAAGTGTTCACTATCACTTGCTAGAGTTGCCAAATATACTCTGATTTTCTCAAAATGAACTCCGTCGAGAACGTCAGCAGCTATCCCACCGACAGCCTGGCATAATGCACGTCCTTCTACAGCAGTCATTAGAGATTTAATGGCCCAATAGCAGTTACCATTATGTTTCATTGGACAAAGACCTAAAAAAGATGAAAGAATTCTTTATTTTTTGCAATAAAATATCGAATTTTAAGTATCTTTGTAATATTTTATGAAATGTTGAATACATTGCAGACAGCTGATGAATATCACCGAAAATTTTTTCTTTGAATACGATGTCAAATACGTGGAGCAATTAAAAGGGAAAACATATTTTAGCTCTTCTTTTTTCCGCACGCTAGATGTCGCAAATGATCTATCCAAAACTTTAGAATATTCATCGATATTTTTATTCATTGTATATCCCTTGTGACGTTTGCTATTTTTACTATTTCCGTACTCCATGGTTTTAAGTTTGTAATAGAGTAAAGGGAATTTACGACATTTAACATAAAATATCGAAGATTTCTATTTAGGAGAGCAAAAATTAAAAACAATATGGTCCCAATTAAATAATCGTTTTTTGATTGAAATTGTACTAAAGCACACAGCCAAATATTGGCTCACCTGTCTTCATTCTTTCACAGACATTCAGTTCACTTCTTATTTTTTTTAGCTCGTTTTCTATCACTGAAATTATGAATAAAAATGTTATTAGGAGCATGTTCCAGATAGGCCTCATCTTTGAATAAAGGTTAAAACAAAAATTACTAGTATTTTTAGCACAATGTTAAATTTGAATTATTCTGCGAAAACAGTTGCTGCTATCTAATTTATCGATTGCAAATATTATACTTGCGATTCCAACAGAATTAAATATTATATTAGTATTTACTCAAATAAACCAGCAATCATTACGGAAACAGCAACTTTTTGAACAACTTCCGGGTGTAAGCCGTTGAAATATTGAATACTTATACTACTACTCAAATAAGTCACTGATGTTTGATAAAGGCTTTTTGTGATATATACAGCACATTATCAAAGCTGTATACATAAATCCCATACCTAAATTCACAATAAACCCGAGTTTAACTTAATCATAACAATCAAGCGTTAAAGGGTTTCGAAAGCATGTCAGAATTATTGCCGAAGACTCAACTAGACACATTCAAGCCCCATTTTCACCTTTTGGACCATATGCGTACATATGCATCGTTTTTTTTATTGGTGGTATTGTATCCTATAGCAATACTTGGTGTTAAAATGATCTTTCCCTAACTAATCGGATTCGATTTTCAGTACTTAAATACGGAAATAGTAGCAAAAAAGCATTTTTTAAATTTTTCCTGAGGCCTACTGAGCCCGATATTTCCATCAAAATTTTTCTTTATATTTTATCTATTTGGGAACGCTGTTCCGAAATTAGACCATCGTGACCACATATATGAGCATTGCTATATTGGTCATAAAATTTTAATATCAACGAAAAACGTCCAAAAACTTTTTTATGAGTTTCGCGTTTTTTTTTTTGAATGCCCTTCCATAAATCATACCTGTTATTTTTTGCTGTACGAGGTCCGCTACATGGTCGTAGTCTACACTGCCGGGTTCACCCTTTATCCCTTGGGGGCCGGTCGGCCCTGCTTTGCCAACTCTTGGGGTAACGTTTTGCATATCACGTCTCTCTTGAGATCTGCTATTTCTAATGTCACAGTATGCTTTCATTTGTTCCGCTATATACGACAATTCGAAATCTTGCTCCTGCGCTTTCAATGTGGACGCCATAAAACATACGACTAAGAAACGAAACTTCATGTTTTCGAACGTATTGATATAGAGAACCATTACAACAAATTTTTTACCAGTCTATATGCTTTGCTAAATAATAATTTTTAAATTTGAATGTTAGGAAAAGAGATCGTTAGTCTTTATTCAAATACAAATCGAGGACTCTTGGACTCTCACTCAAACAGCAGGCTTAGATCAGTTACACAACATGCGTATCCGATTCACGAATCAGTGTGTGTCATTGTGGATATAAGAACGTTGATTTAGCCTAATTATATGCGAGTATCACCACTATAGTCAGATATTATAGCCAAGTGATAGCTTACAGCTTAAGTTTATTCCAGAGCAAAAAGGAAAATACGTCATGCAAATACAGCAAAACTTAAAAATTTCATTTTATCACATATTTCGTAAGCGTCAAAGAACAGGTATATAATTGAGCAGAGGTGTGCAAACTGTGAGCTAAATTCGGCATAAAGAAAAAATAGTGCGGCCCGCGGATAAGCGCCAATTTTGAATGGTGTGCGGCATGAGAAAAGAGTTTTTTATTTAGTTTAATCTGGTACGTGCAAGTAATTCCGATCTATTTGCAACGCAAAGCCTATACCTGAGTCCAATTTATCATCAATGCCAATGATGTTACAATGTCTGAACAGCTAGCTTGTGCGAAGCCAACAACGCGAAACACAAAGCTGTCACTTGCTGAGCAGCGTGATATTTACGAAAAGTGCAGAGTATACGCTAATAAATTGGTAAAAACGGGTAATTACAGGTTAGGCATGTTGGTGTTGTCTAAATTCAGTCTAGAATAAAACAGACTTAAAATGAAAGTATTTGGAAATAAATCTTGGCGATTTTTACCTAAAACATTTCTACCAAGATAACTTTCCATATATGAAAACACTCGTGGCCTCAAATATTACACTTTTTAGCTCAACATATTCGTGCCAACATTTTTTTTTTGAAATGGGCGTCATGATTTCTCCCTATCGATTGGTTCTGACAGACGAACACTCTTCGAAAATGGACCTCGAGTATCTAGAGCTTTCAATTCATGACCAGCAGAAAATTCCTCATTGGATTTGGTTAAGGATGGTGTAACAATAAATTTGAACAACAGTTTTCTTTATAAATTTATGCGTATTAACTCGTCATTTCCGCAAGGACCCCTAATAATGCCACAAGATCAATAAGAAAAAAGGCTATTTTTTCGTCCCCACAACTACTAGAAAGTTTATGTTAAATAAAGGTGCGGCCCGCGGTTTCACCCCTGGCCCTTCTGTATTAAAGATTGCACACCCCTGTTATAGAGCCAAACTTTCATGTTAAATGATGCCACATCTCACAGCTAACAGCTAACTATCGCTAGACTGAATGCAACTTTTTGTACTTCAAATTACTCCCACATGATATACAAGCTTTCAAGTAGGAGTTGTAAAAGCAAGAATGAAACAGTGAGCGACTCCTTGTACAACATGACTTATTCTTATACTTCCAATATTATGCCAATAGCGACTGAACTCAGACTTGACATGACAAACGTATTCTATCGTAACACACAATATTATCTATCAATCTGCATTTTGAGTTTATTTATCGATCCACTTAATTTCCTCACTTCGTGCAAAAATAAAAGACATTCACATTACAATCAAATTTGGCCGAATAACTTATTGATTTTAACTTGACATATGATGTCATTTCGGAAGCGAAACAGATTATGTGATTGATTACAATTCATCGGCTTAGCCATGTCAGGAGTTTACAAAGTAATTTGAAAAACTGTCAAAATGTACATTTTACTGTATTTAGTCTATGGTATATTTAATGGCAAATCTATCAATTTATTGTAACAGATAAAATATTTAGGGTTCATTTACTTACGTCCACTTTTTCATTTAGATTGGAATGATATGGCAATCTATATACTATTATATTTAAAAAATGCTTGTAGAACTTTATGACCAAAAAAGTAAAATGCATCATTATCATAAGAAATATACCGTAAACCTATTGACGACAGTTTTCAAATCTCGGTTAATTTTGCTCAAATTATTTGAACAAATCACTCAAAAACATTGATTCCCCATATGTGCCTATTATATCTTATTTCCTTTCGACTCAAAAGTTTTCTGTTTTTCTGTCTTGCCTCAAGTTTTGCCTGATATGAACGGCCTTGTGGGCGTTTTATAAAGAACCCATGGCATCAACAAGATGGAGATACAAATTTTGACGTTATATGTTGCCTAAATTATATAAACTCGTCTCACAAGTGTATATTATAAACTTTGCAGTTCAACTTGTACGACAAATTTGTCTTATTACAAAATACTTGCTAACTCGGGTGCTTGATACCTTTCTGAAATTAACGTAATGAATGAAGTATAATTTCCTGAATGTGAAACCGATTTGAAAAAAATAGTATTCATTCGCCGAACAATATAGGAAATAGGATTTTAATTGATGGTTGTATGGTTTTTGCTACAGTTTTCTGACAATAATATTGGGTTCACTTCTTCAAGATTTGGAGAGCAATTAAAAGCTCTTTTAGGTTGGCATTTTATTAAATATATATAAAGTATCAACTCTTGCAATTATCGAACTATTACATAACACTTAATCGATATATTAGTTACATTGGGACTGAACGAGATCTGAGTGGAAACATGCAGGGTGCCAATGGAGTCCCTTTACAATAAAAATTTTATGAATCAGTTCTCAATATATCTTGACCAGATTTATCGTTTATTAAGTTAGTAATTGTTTATGTATTTTTACTTCAATTACTACGTATGTGAGGGCCAATACAATATATGGTGCCGATAAATTCCCTTTGCAATTTAAAAACAATTTAAGACGTTATGAACACCCTCTTTTTTGGACATTTTGTTGAAATTTTGTTGAAGCCATAAACCTTGAAAAGTAAATTATGCCACTGAATCATGAAACTTTGAGCCACATCATTGTAGCCACATTATAATACTACGTTTCAAAGAAATGCGTGTAGTGTATACATTTGGCGACAAACAGACTATGCAATTTGCTTGGGAATCATTTCATAGTTAGGTTAAACTAGGTCGTGAAAATGAGAGTTGTGTTATTCTATTGTTAGCGAGGGCATGACGGAGTCAAATGAAAATTCATCTTGTATTTTGTATGAAACTGAATCACTGAATCATGAAACTTTAAGCCACATTATCAACAGAAAGCATATTGAAGGCCATTGGGAGCCATATTATTTGAAGAAACCTTTTATGCGCAAATTGTCTTATCATATATCTTTTGAAAGTAGTGACTTTAATCAATTACTTAGGTCAGGTGACAAAGGGTCTGCACTGACAGCCCAGTCGCAAGGATAGGAATCAAAGAGGCAAAAAAACGTCATTTGTATTATATTTTCAAAACTTAATATGTGAAAAAAGCTTATCCTTGCTTGTAAGCATCAAGAATTAGGACAAATTGAACAAGGGTATACAAAGTATAGATATACAAGGGTATACAAAGCATAAAGATATACATAGGGAAACACAATAAAATACGTAAAAAATACAACTGTGGAATATTAGGTCAGTTATCTGAAGCTAAAATGCTAATCATTATTGAGTAAATTAAGCTCTTTGCAATAATTCCATTAGTTTGAACCTAAATGTTAAAACTTCAGCAAACTATAAAAATTATTTCCCCTTATACGCCCTAAAAAACCTCAACCATGATTTATTTACTTTGAATCTATTGAGATTTACATACTTACTACCACTATAAGTACATTTATAAGTGCAGGTTCTCCTTAGTATCGAACTCATAAACAATATTTTCAGTCAAAAAACATAAAAAAAAACATGGCAAACTTATAACCTTCAGATAGAGGATCGGGTTTGCTATTTATCACAAAATTCCAACAACCTGTTCGTGTGGACCTATACGAGCTCAGCCCACCACTGGCTATTACTGACAAGCAACTGTGAATAAATCATGAAAAGCGAGCCAGATCCGGCCCGTGGCATCTTTTCATCCGACCCGCAATAAAACGAAATATTGACAAAATTTTCTTTCAAAAGACTTTTTCCCGAGAATCGACTTTTTTGTTTATTTCTTAACATTAGTCAATCAGCAAGATGCGGAAAATTGACGTAACAGCATCCCTTTTCGCATCCGCTTAGCCAAATTTTTAGTCGTGGTTGTAAACAATACTTCGTTCTTGCAATTTCGAATGCTATTCGTTAGTTTTTTGTTGTGTTTCAAAAATGTAGGTATGAATCAATATATCAATCAGCATTTTGCCTTCTCATGAGTTGTAGTTTAATAGAAATAATCAAATGTTAGTCTGAAAATAGCTGTAATAAAATAGGCCAAAATTCTCCGGTAAAATACCGGTATGCAACGTTTTCTGCGCAAGATGCACTCATACACTCATTGCGGGTGCTTTCGGTGAAACTGTTGCTGCGTACGTTTCTTGTGCTAAATTGAACGTGGATTTTGCGCGAATAGTACTGTAATCTCTTGCGTACTGCTCCAATTTCACCTGTCATATCAACTTTTGTGCTGTTTTAAATGCGAATATTCTTGACAGCAATGTTTTGCTGACAGCTAACCTCAAGATCGTTGTATAGATCTAGAAATCTTGTATATATATTTGTTTTGCTATGATGTTCTCGGTCTATATTCTGCGACAGATAGAATTCAATATTCAAGTCTTCAGAAATGTAGATCTTATATTGTTGAATAAATTGAATGGATTCCCACTTTTTGGTAGTTTGTTGTATTGAATTGACAACAATATTTGTCCGACCCGTTTCAACACAAATTAAGTCATAACTGGCCCGCGGTCAAAAAAGTTTGGTGACCCCTGCATTAGATCAATTGGATCTTAGCATTTCTGTCAGTAAAGTAAAGAAGTTTTAAAATCAAGTTCTGGGTAATTTATACAAAGTGCTACATTGTTTCCGCGTACAGTCCATCATCGGCTTCTGGAGCAGTATCATCATAAATATGTTCCGCGCTATCGCCATGGTGCATTGAAGAACGAGTTTGGCTTGGTTGGTCATAATTCAAACTGCAAAAACAAGGTATTTAGTTAGCTTGAATACAGACTGTATGGAAGATTTAAAGAATCCGATCTATCCGATGCATTTCTGACACAATACCCAGCCGTCCCAATGATTGTGATATGTTTTCAGTGAGATTTAGAACCTTCAGCCCACGATTTCCCTTTAACATGCATGTTTAGGTGTGAATGAGGGCGCTCAAGAAGTATGTTCACCAATATGGAGGTAACCAATTTTGCTAGCCTGCATCACATCAAGTTGTGTGAAGGGACGAAAGCCTATGAGCAGGGGGATACTCACTTGACAAACAGAGAAAATCACGAACTTGTAATTGAACTAAATTAAGGAAAATTGAAATCCTTCTGGAGTTACAATTTGTTACAAAAAAGCATGGCTGAATTTTTGTATCGCATCAAATAAATAATGTTATATATATAATGATAGTGATATCTATATATAATAGATAACATGTATTAAATAATCTCTGTGATAACAATTGTTAGTTGCCCACCCTGCACCTCCATATGGAGCATCATAGTCGTTTTCCGGTGGCTGAAAGGCTGGATTGACGTGTTCCCCATTATTTCGACCACGAGATGACGCTGGAGGATTATAACTTGTGTCTGGTCTGTATGTTCTATTTCCTGGAAGATTTGGAATTTCCGTTTTCCGTGTAGGTTGTTCATACCGAGTTCTACGTTGATTTCCGTGATTTGCGTTCGACAATGGTTCTTGAGGACGTGTCGGCATGTAGGGTGGATCGGCTTCATTGTTATGCTGTCGACTTGGAGGTGCGTTGTCTAAGTTATCAAAACTGTCGCTGCGCTGTCCTCCGGGACGATGTTCTGCTGAAAAACAAAATAGGTTCCGATTCTTTCTATTGTTTTCTGCTTCAGAAATTCTTCTGTTGGTATATACATATAAAATGTACATATTATGATTTGTGCTTCATTTTAACCAAGAATAATATAAAAAAATTTGCACATGTGATTTTACTGGGCGCAGTGAATTCAAACCAAAATAAAGTCACTTAGATATGGTTTTTAAACCAATTACATGGGTACTATTTACTTATGGTATGTTTACGTATAATCCACTCACATTGTGATTGTTGGTCCATTAATTGACAGGTTCTTGTTATTGTTAACTGTCTAGTACTCTAGTCTGTGTTTACTGTTCAGATCTGTTTACTAAAACTTGGTGCTATATTCATTGAGTTTGAATCATCATCTTTTCCAAAGGTTATAAAACTCGAAATATATGTTCTGGGACAACCTCATTTAAATGTAAGGAAACTGGTATAAACATGGTTTGTATTGTGCTTGATTTACTGTACTTCTTTTATGAGTTATCTTTTTCATTGTTTGCCAGATAACTATGTTTGGCTGTGTCCAGCCTCTTGCTGGATTAAATGAATTTTGCAGAAATCTATTTGTTTCATTTTGGATGATAGTAAATAGACAAGGGTAATTTGGCAAGGGGGAGGAAAGAAAAATGATTTACATTTAAAAATACAACCCACATTTTCTAACTGAAGTCTGAATCTAGCAGTTCATATCCAACTTTTCGGAGATTTAGAAATACATGAATACAAGAATTCCAACTAACAATGGCAGGATACTTAAGAATTTTAAACAACTCAAAAATAAGTAATATTCAACGTATATTGCTTCCCACCTGGCACCAGCACTGCTTAGAAAATGCTTTTTGATTAACGTTTTTGATTTATCCGAATTCCCAATTAAAATCATATCATTTCGAACAAAGAATTTAACTAGAATTCCCTATTTTTTTTCAAATGTTTGATAAATTTTTCAGATGGATCCGAATAGCTAATTATAATCATATCATTTCTGACTTTCTGACTTGACTTCTGAATTTTTCTAGAATTCTCAAATTTCCCTCAAATAAACAAAATTTTGCCTAAAATCAGGCTTTACTATACTTAGAACATTGAGCGGGTCACGAATAATTTCACACAATGCTTTTGATGTAATTATTGTAATATTATATAGAATGAAGGTAATGGCTCAAATTATATAGGGACAACATCATATCAGGTTAATATTCTGTGCTGAAAACAAAGTGAAACTCACGGGTGTAGTTATTCGGCGGAGCTCTGTAATCGGCTTCTTTTGGGGATGTTTTCAATTTTTTGTTGATTTTTCTGTTAAAGTAGAAATTTAATAAATTTGTCTCACTCGACTTATTGGTGGTTACAGAACGCAACTATTGATTTCCGTATTGCTTACTATGTCATCGCTAATAAAATCGACACTGAAAGTTGAGTGTCTTTTTAAATCGGCGATTCACACTTCGTTATTTTATGAAAAATGTAATAGTAAAATTGCCGAAATGTAGCAATGCAAATTTTTTTTAGAAAATTCATAACCACAACGACCAAGCTATTTATTGACAAAATAATACTATTACTAGCAAAACCAAGAAGATAGGTGGTTGCGATCCGGATGGTTGTTGGCGTGTTGAGAACGAAAGAGTCCAATAAAATTGCATTTTAACTATGTTAAATTTAAAGTACAAATACTCAATACCAAACCCAAATTGTACAGAATTATTTTGAAAATGATATAAAAAACATTGTGGTAAACATTCTCTTGTTACGGTGTCGCCAAAAAGGTTTCGTGTGCATAGATAGATCAGTATCCACGTAGATATATGAGACATCTTATCTCATCTTCGACACTATGTTTACACAAAGATTGTCTTGCAAAATTGTTGCTGATATTGGAATAAATTATTAGTTGAGCAATGGATTTAAAATTTTTAGAAACGAAAAAAATTCGAAGCAGTTAGAAATTATCTTTATTGTCGAAATTCTCAAGTCCTACGAAACCAGTTATTTCAACAAAAATTTTATGGTAAATAACAATGCATGGTAACACTTTTATATGCTTATATAAACAATTTATATATTCCTAATTCAATATTTTTTAGTATTGTTTTGATGTTTTAGAAAATAGACAAATAGAGACAAAAATCCATGAGTGGGCGATACCATTAAACTTACACGATAAAAAATATGAACACGCCGATTAAGACGATCAACGTCATCCCGATGATACAGACTGCTATCAAGAATTCCTGTCTGGTTGCGAAAGTTTCTTCAGGCGGTGATTCTAAAGTTGAAAAATTAAATATTGTTGCATTTTAGGCCAGTTCAACTTATATTTAAATGTATATTCAAAATTTAAAACGACTCTAATGAGGCAGAAACAAACTTCTTCAGACAAAACAATATATAGCTGCAAATTTGGAAGGTTAATTCAATGTTATTCTAGAAAAATTTAACAATTTTGCAGATAGGTGGGTTAGTTTAGAGTTATATTTTGATTTGTCTAAAGAAGTCGGACAATGATCTAGCAAAATCTAACAAATATTCTCGCTATTTCTTGGAAAGACATACATTATGTTATTCTTTTTTTCTTAATAATACTATCTCGTTCAAGCAACCTTTTAGCAACCGACGCATACAGATCCGAAGTAGAAAGTAAACAAGGAGAAAGGACTTGCAGTTCCTTGCACGATACCCTAGGCTGCAGAAACATTAGGCGGTGGTTTACCTATTATATGTAGACATCATGAAATTTATTATATAGTTGTAAGAAATTTTGTAGAATTTTGTAGACGATGCCCAATTGAACTCCCCGTTTCCAAACCTTGGATAGCATCTCTATTTTAATAACATCAAAGCTCCAGTATTGTTTCAAGCAAAGATTAATTAATAGAATAGAACATGGCTACTAAAATAGTTGACCGCGGTCCGAATCCGTATTTGATTTGGACCACATCTGATTTTTTTAATTTTGGATCGTTGTCCCAACCCTGAATATGTTAAAATTTCTTTCCATTAAATGCAAGTTTAGACAATACCAATATTGCTATCTGGATTAGCGAATTATCACTAGTCTGCCGGGGAAGTTAGCATTAATGGATGTCAAAATATAATATCTGCAAAGAACGGAACACAGAATTGAAAGTTTGAATACAATCTTTGATTAAAATAGTTGATTAATTATGGAATAGAACATACAAAATGTATCAATCTTTTGTACAATTAGATGACACTGTTCCAAACAAACAAAAACAGATTCTTATCCTAAATTTTCGCGGATTTTTTAGAATTTATAGCTTATTTGCGTAAACTGCATAGACAGAGCAATGAGTAGCATCACTTGGACGTGTTATCGACGCCCAATGTAAGTAGCTAAATTGACTCGAGTACGCTGACAAATTATCCACAAATTAACACATGTTTAGCGTAGTTTAGTTTGGATAAAATGTGAAATTGAACATTTCATTAACTAGTGTATACCTTTTACTACCAAGCCTATTGATCGCATGTCTTGATATGTGTCATATTCATCTCTGTTGCTTGCTGAGCACGAGTACATACCGCTATCTTCAGGTTGCACTCCTAAAACAAAACAAATTCTTTACATCAAATATTTGTTCAAAGATGAAAAATAGAGGTAAAGTGCGCTGTGACGCATTGTAAATGTATTTTGAAAAAGGTCGGTTTAACCTTTTACCTTCTTGCGATATTCTTTATTGCATTGTATTGCAATAGTCTAATTCGTAAAACTAATTTTGTGATAAAAAATCAGATAGTTATAAAATTTCACTGTTTCTAATTTGGGGTGTTGGATTTGCTGGTGAGTATTGACGTGATAAATTGAGTCATCTTTTATCAAGGACTCGGACTGATTTGGGTCATGTAGATAGAATAAAAAAGACTCATCGCCAGCTACACGCCAGTGAAACTTAACCCGAAAAATGTCTCATCTTTCTGAATACCCTAGCATCTTACATTTAAATGATTTCAACTCATGATGATTTCGAATTGGACGTTTTAAGAGCTAAATTATTATTCACCCTAAGAAAAAAATTTAAAACATTCTATTATTGAAAAATATTATTCAATGGCTTTGTTGACTCAGGTATAAAACCCGAAATGAAACTGATATGTTTATATTGTGACGTCTGAATACCAAGTGGGAAATTTCAGCGGGATAAGCGATCGATATTCTTATCAGGTTTCTATTATATTTTTAAAATAAATCATATTTATATGTGAACGAGATTTTAACAGGGTGGAAATTTTAAAATTGTAAAGTTAAAATGAAAAACACTAGCTGTTTCACGATTTATCCTATTTTTTTTTGGATGATGCTATGTAATCGCCAGTTTCAGTACTCCCGAAGTTTGTGAACCAAGATGGCGGACACCGGAACGTAGTATGTGTACCAGGTTAGGGTTAGGTCATAATATTTTTCCTATTTTCCTTATTTTAGTTCTATTACGGATTCCGGGAATACCCAAGTGATTCCGTACTCCGTAGTATTTGTACCTGAAATTATGGTCTAACCCTAACCTGGTACACATACTACGTTCCGTTGTCCGCCATCTTGGTTCACATACTTTGGGAGTACCCTAGTTTCTCGGCAGAAAGGGTACAACTTTGATCTTTTCAACATTATGTGCAAAAAGTAGTATTATTTAAACCCCACTACATATGTATCAGTTTTCAAAGCCTGTTTGGATCAAAAGTATGTGTCACCTGTATAAATTGCCAATGTTTAGTTGAGCATAATACAATATGTTGAAGTGGAAATCTAGTCGAAAGTTAAAAATTGTGTTTTATTATAGGTTGTGCTTTGTAAAGACCGTTGCGTAATGTAACGTAATGGGACTGAATAATTCAGACAATACAGTGATACTCAGTATTAGTTGTGAATGCCATTGGTAAATATTGACCGTGGGTACATTTGAACCAGTAATTACTTTCTCTTTGTTACAGCAATGCACGCACAAGGATCATTGAACTGACCCTAATGTGTGTTGAACAGCGGTCAAATATTAAAAATGCCAATGCGGAATGAATTTAGACAAATATTTATCACAGTACTTTCTGTTTGGCCACTCACTTAACAAAATATATATATGGCATGAAAAAAAAAATTTTTTAGGCAAAATCTTGAATATTGAATAATTTTGCTTAAACGAACGCTTATATCGATACTCGAATCTTCTAAAAATCTCCCACTTTGAATTCTTAGAAGACAAAAAAGTTTCACAGGAAGACAGACAATACCCTAATTTTAACGCTCACCATATAACTCAGAGTGTAATAAATTGGGCAAATAATGACAAACTGGAAAGATCCAGGCCTTCCAATTGATAGTATCTTTCAAACTAACAGTTCAGCTGTTAAAAAACCTTGTTCAAAGTGAAAATCATATGAAATTTTCATCTTCTGTAGTAAGTTATAATTTTTTTTAATCGTATTCAGTAACAGTTTACAATCTACAAAAGTATACACGTTACTTACCTTGTACTTTCACCAATGAAAAGGAAACTCAGATTATGTAGTTACTAAAGTTGTTTTATACTATTACACAAGGCTTACTCACGTGTGCCGAGATATATGGTGTCTATAAAGTCTTAATATTTCTAAAAATTGGATATGGAATTTATCGATACCATATATTGTTTTGGTTCTCACAGATGTGTTAAATACAGTGAAAATACTTAAACAATTACTGATTAGAAAACAACAAATCTGGGTAAGATATATTGAGGACTGACTTCATAACACAACTGAAATTGTAAATGAGCTTTAGGGACACCCTGTGTAACGCTGTGTGAGAAAATACAAATTTTTGAAGAACGGGAATCTTTCTGGTTCGGCATTGCTTACACTATTTATAGCACTTTGAGTTAGGTGGTAACCTGCGATGCCAACACAATCAAGCCGAACGCTTTAGCCGCCGGGTTTTTGTATCCAAGACAATTATTCTTATTTTTAAAGACAAAGTGGCACGGTAATTTTCAATGAAATTCAAGTACAAAGACTTGCATTCATTAGACTTGCATAAGAATTAGTGGTTGTTTTTTGTTCTGTATAACTTAGTATAGTAACCAACCTGTTTCAGGGCGAAAGTGTAGGGTACTGCTTGATTCATTTTTAATTTGATATATTCGATCTCCTATATTTAGAGTCGAAACTTCGACGCCCGAGAGCAGCCACGTAACCTGGAGAATATAAAATTAAAACAAGTTTGAAAACCAATTATTTTTCCATTAAAGGGAGCCATAATTTTTACTCGTGGATAGCAAAGCAAGTAAATTTTGTAGAGCAGATAAAAAAAGCTGATATATTTAGCTGAGCGTTCGATAAAAAATCATTTAACACTGTGAAATCAATAAAGTGTGGTATAGCATACTGTAGGGAAAAAAATTCAATAAATTAGCTTATTTAATCAAATTTAATTTATTTGGTCACTATGATAGAAACAAAACACCGAACAACAACAACCGGGCAAACAAAATACAGAGGACCTGGAGGACGGGCATAACATAATTGAAAAGTTGAAAACGCACAAGTACGTGTCCGTCCACCAAAAACATTCAAAACACAATATAATAAAAACACGATATATTGCATTTTTAATACTCTGAATTATTGATTTGAACAATATGAACATTATAGAATTATACCCTCGAATTTGTGCCCTCCGCCGTATGATGTGTAGCTAGTATTCGATGCTCAATAACACTAAAAGACGAAATAATATCTTACGTTCGGGGTGGGCAATCCACTTGCTTCACAAATCCATGAAAAATTCTGCTGTCCTGGTTCAATTTCATTTAGTGTGTTTTCGTTCAACTGAACATTTAACGAGTTGTATACTCTGGTAATTTTCACTGGGTCTGGGAGAAATATAAGAATATTCATTGTTTTCTGGCAATGTACCATTTCATTATCATAATAATTAACAAGAATATCAAAATTGCAGGATAAAAATTTTGAGTTAAGATCCTGCAAATTTTAATTAGAATATCATTAGTAATTGGTTCGATAGTAGTAATTCAATAGATTAAAGTCATAATAAACTACTTTTCCAGATATCATTCAAGCTATTAATCCTATCTCGAAGCCCTCTTACATACTTTGTAACAATGTCTGATGAGCTTGTAACGAAGATAAACTCATTAATATTGATATTTACATTTTGTTCTCAAAGAAATTGCATTTGATCAGATTTTGTTATTAATGCGTGAGTAAACCAATCAAAGTGTTTTAACTAGCATTTGAAAAATATTCAAATCTTAATATAGTTCTATGTAACCATTTGATTTGTGCATGATGATTTTTATCAAAATGATTTTACAAAATGATTTTTATAATAACATGATACTTTTAAGTCTCCCAATTAGGAGCACCAGTATTTGAAATTTGCACTGATGAATCGATATAACATTTTTCACTAAATGTCTTGTATAAGACACAAAAAAGTACCATAAATCTTTAAAACAACCGTTTCTTCGCTTTCCGAATAAAGTGACACAGCCCTGAATGTGTATTTTCCAGCTGATTGCAGGTTAACCGGGACTGAGTGAATATACTTTGGACCATAATCTGAATCTACGCCAGATGCGTTCAGGTTGTATGTTGTTTCATTGAATGTGACTAAAATAATGAAAATAGGAAAGTTGATAATATAAAAATCTGCGGACGCTTAAGGATACTTATTCACCAATATATTTATGTTTCATATAGCACACTATGACTAAATTCGACTTATAAAGGTTTTGTATTTTTTTGAATTTGCGTAATGACAATTGGACTTCTGATGGAACATTGAAGTCACCATTGACGTGCAAAAAATTCTGCAAATCCAAGAAGTTCTCAGAAATAAAAAGTATTTGTTAATAGGCAACCGCTACACTGTTTCTCTGTTAATATAAATGTCAATAAAACACAAATTAGGCTGAAGTACGAATATATTAAAAATCATAAAATTTAAACATTTAGTACGATAATGTGGAACTGAAAGTACTAATTTCATAAAAAGTAGGTAATAAACTTTTATCAGATCGCAGCCTTACGTCCAAATAAGGAAAAGTAAATATTTGGTATTTGGTATATATATTTTACTATTGCGGTTTGAATCACATATACTGTCTCGTTCAAGTATCCTTGCATTAGCTGCTCAACACGGAAGCAATGCAGAACACAAACAGAGAAAGATTCGATGTTCATGACACAAGCTTAATACACGTTCAAACTAATAGCCAAATCTTACCCGTTACATTGACATCAACCTGATCAACATTGATATAAGATATCAGAGTAACAGAGTCAGCTCTTCTTATGGTTTCATGAACAACAGGAGGAACGCTGATGGCTAAGTTCCCTTTTAAGTAAAGTTTGCAGTGATTAACGTATGTCTAAAATGTTCATTGAACAGACTTTTTAACCATTTACATTTTTCACGGCTTATACGTACATTTCGTGCCGATAAATGTGGTAAGAACTCGCAGAATGTATATATATAAACAACTTTTTGTAGATTATAAATCATACCATTAAAACCTCAATAAGCAAGGTGACATGTTTTAAGCCATTTTATGAATGACCCGAACATTACAACTTATACTGAAAATTAACAGTTTAAAAGACGTTTTCGAGAGATTGCACAGCTTTTTTAAATAGAGAATTGCCCAATTATGCACAAAAGCCAAAATGAGGTAATATAAAATCCCTTACAGTACCGGCAGTCTAACCACAATATCACTGAGACGCGATCGAGGAACCGCCACACGGTACACAATTCTTAATTTTGATGACGTCATCACACAAAACTTGTGAAAGTGTAAAACAAATTATGCAATATTTTTGAAAATAAATAGAATGAGCTTCTAGCGACAATAACAACCTTTTACTACTGAAAATTTCAAAGAAGTTGGTCCAGTAGTTAAAGTGTGAACTGTTTTCCACAGCAACAACAACACCAACAAGCAAAAGAAAAATGGCGAGAAGAATTATAACAACAATATAATAAAAAAACGATCTATTATAAGTCCAATTTGCGTCCAATAATAGTTCAGCGAAACTATCTATAGACAGAACCATTTATGTTAAATAGCAGAATTTTACCAAGATCGCACTCAGCCCAGGAGTTACTTCCAGATGTTTTAACACATCCATCCACCTTGCTAAATGTACAGTAAATTACAGTGGAGCAACGGCCGATCATAGAACAGTTTTTGCCATAGTTGGGTTCTGAACATTCTGAAAGAATTTTGAGATAGATAAATTTACACTAGGAAAGTAGTACGGCATGCATCTGATATCTATGGATTGACATTATTCGCAACGAAATATGTAAGTGTATAAAAAACAGACTATCATAAAATAAAAAAGTTTACTTGGCCGTGTCGATTAGAAATATTCCCTGGCAACCTTTGTAATGACATCTGTCATAGGTATAAATTAATATACCACAAGCGAATCGGCTATTGTTGGCAACTCGTCTACTAATATATATATGTATATATTCATTTAGTTCAGGCCTTATGTCACACTTTAGAATTATGAGAAAATTTACTTTATCAATATTGACCGTCATCGACAAATTTTGACAAAGCATTGGTTGTGAAGCAGAATAGGATGGAACATTTCTAAAAATTGGCCCGCAGCCCACATGGGGGCCACAGAGCGGTTATCTAAGACTACGAGCAAACGCTTTTGATGGGTGCCAGCTGACCCTCAATAATATGAAGTAAATTGATTGATTTTTTAAATAATCTTTTCACTATTGCATCTGTTTTTTGTTCATTATTAAATACTGCGTATAAAATAATTGAGGAAAGCGCTTTGAAAGATAAAACAAGTATTTCCATATGTGAGCAAGTGTTGACAGTATTTGGAAGGCGTCATGAAAGTTTGGTAACTACTAATATATGAGTACATCACTATTGACATAGGATGTGTACACGATTGATGTGCACTAGGGACAAAAGTGTCGAAATAGTATGCAAATGCTCTATTTATTACCTGTACAAAGCTCGGCTTCCTCTTCCCATATATGGGTACTGTTGCATGTAACATTTTCATTTGAACCTTGGTAGCCAACACGGCATGTTTTATTGTAAACACAATCTGCGGTCGCATTGGGGAAGCAAGAACTTTCAGGTGGAGTGTAAGTTGCATTTCCATCAAACAAACAGTTCTGTCCTAAAATGCAGTGAATATTTTGGATTAGCAATTGCCAGAATGCTGTAATTTACATTACAATGAAACTACTATTATATGTTTGACTCAGACTATCAGACTATCCTCAATGTCACAGCGAAAATCTCCATTTTAAAGTTTTAAGTTGGTGACCAGATTGGCTTACATGACAATATCCCGAAAGGCGGAAATTACACCATTCTTATAGGCCCATAAATGTATGTTTTTGTCCAGGGTATTGTTTGAATCAGACATTTGAATTTTTTTGAGGACAATGGAGCAATACTTAAATATATAAAGGGAAGCTGATACTAAGTAGTGTCAAATCTTTTAGAGCACCGATAGTCGCCCAGACGTCGAATGACAACCAGGTCGCCACGCAATATTTAATTTATGAAATAATTTTGATGACGTCATCACACAACACTTCAAAAGAAAACACGAATCCTGTGAAGCCCACAGTTAGTTTTGAAATAAATAAATGTAATAGTTTTCTAACGACAACATTTTACCCACTCAAAATTCCAAAGCAATAGTAAGAAGAGAATGGGATTTTATTTCAAAAAAAAAATAACAACAACAAGAATACAAAGGCGATTACTAAAACAACAACAGCATTCTGAAAAACGATCCATAGGCCTACTTCGTGTTCAAAAACAATGTTACAAGCATCCGAGATACACAAGATACGTTATAGAACTAGCGGATTTTTCATTCAATTCAATTTTCTTTTCATGACATGTAAAAGCGGCCATGGTTCTCTTCATTCAAAGTTAATGAACCAGGTTATTTTTATCGTCCCATTGGATGTGAAATTTTCAAGTTATTGTGATAAAAGCAATTAATTAAACATTGGTAATTGGTAATATTCACCAGAGTTTTCCCACGACAAATATATTTCACCTGTCATATATCTCTTTAAGCATATGTTTTCATACGCCTTTCGCTTCGAATAAGACTTATACAAGCAGCGACCAATCTAATGATATATAAGGAGCTACTATTATATACAGATACTGAAAAAGTCGCATTATGTTTATTTCAATTTATAATTTTCCGTTTCTCTACAACATAATATTTTGTTTGAAATAGGGTTGTTACCTTATTTAAACGATTGTAAGTTAACGTGAAAAATTATATTTCTTGGAAATAATGCGATAAATCCTTACCGTTTACTCCATTTCTTAGAAGAATAATTGAAAACATAGAAAGAACACATATCATATAAAATGAAGTTCCCATAACGATGATATTGCAATGTACTTGAATATTTGTTAGACGTTGTATGAATCGATTATTGTATGCTACATAACTATATTAATTAATTTTGTATCTAAATGAAAACATGAAAAAAGTCATCTAATTTAAAGCCACGTGTGACTGCTTTAAATTTTCACGTCTGACCATCATTAATAGATGCTATTTCGAAGTATTATTCGAGTCAGGCTATAGGTTTCAGTATTCAATCTATTTGTTGAATATACAATTTTTTCAGAAAGTCCCCGAACTCATAATAGAACAATAATCTGATAATGTGAAACTCTGAACAAAATTTTGTCCTAACCCTAAGCTGGTACACATACTACATTAGTATCCTTTTCTGTAGCTTGGTATTTTGCTTTATTTTTATATAAATTGTAAAAATACAAAATTTTGCTAAGATAATTGAATTTTTCCTGATGAGGCTGCGGCCAATAGCTTGATGGGCCATGGCCCATGTGGCCCGATTAAATGGGTCGTGGCCCCGGCCCATTGGCCGTAGAGGAGTCACCACCCTTGTAGATTTTTTTACACGAGAGATAATCAGACAAATAATCTCGGTTGATGGCGTCTTTATTGTTTCATTCTAAATTGCTCTTTGCCTTTCTATATTTAGGTGCTACGTACTAACTAAGCTATGTTTTCTGAGTTCTATCTTTGACACATAATAATTTTCTCAATTTCTTTCCGAAAAACCCTGAGACATCACCATATGGATATAAATAAGGTCTGGGTAAATATTTTTCTGGTTCAAGTTTGCACTTGCTTTCAAATCTGCTGGGTATGATGTTAAATGTACCAAGTTAAATTTTATATAGTGTGATTAATTTTTGTACAGAACGAAATGCATTCAATGCGGACTGACATTTAAAATAATAATATACTTTGTTTTCCAATTGTTTTACGACTGAATTTGTATTTAGGAATTTAATTGTAAGTATTGTTTTATTGGATTGGGGTAAATTCCATAAAACAAGTTGTTTTCTTGATAAAATGGCAAATGGCCTTCCCCAAAAAAGGGGAACGACAAGATTTGAGGGGCTCAGGAAATCGCTGTTACACACATAAAGATAAATGAGTGCCACTAAATTTTGAGGTCTACCGCCATATATGTGGTCTACCAAGGTGTAGTCTGAGGACCTACGTTTCTCTTGGGACTTGCCCTATATGAGGGAAACAGGTCAAGACACAAATAGGTAATGTCCATTGAGAATGAAAGCTAAGCAGTAGTGCTCATGCTGTAGTACTCGCTTGAGATAGCTGTCAAGCTATTGTATGTGGTATACCTCAAACTATACTAACTAATACCTTTAGATAGACCTCACTTCATAGCGTGGCTGACCTAATTCCACAGTAGCACTGTTAAATAAATAGTTTTCGGCTTTCCATAAAAGCTACGTTTTGGGCCTGAAAGCCAATGCTTGTAACGTCTCATTTTCTATTTTTATTTCAATACGCAACGTTCAATGGAACCACATATTCTCCATCTAAACCAAAACAGTTGCCAATTGAAATTGATTCCGTCGCAGATATAACTAACCGGGTTATGATCAAGTTTAAGACACCAAATTATAGAATAAGAAGAAATTCTAATTAATCAACTAAAGTACATCTCCAGATAGCAAAATACTATTTTATCAGCCAGTAATATCTAACACGTCTGACTGTCTTCCAATACAATACACAATTCTCCGTCTAGTTTAATAACCGTTCGTACTGAATGACGCCTCGCTCAATAAAACTGCTTTCACTATTTTGTTTATTTTTTGCTGTATCCCTCGTAATCGATAATAAAAAAAATAGGAAATTAACTGGCATTTCATCCAACAATCAATCAACTCCCTATATCCATTATTGCTAGTATGACTTCCAAGAAGATTGGTATAAAGCTAATCCGCGGTAATTGAATACATTTTTTGTTGCGCATATTTATTTCAAGGCAACAAACGCCACACTCACTTATAAATGGTCAACTAGTTGTCTAGTAGTCTGAAGCCATATATGATAAATATTGCCAACACATCAAAATTCTCCCACGTTAGGCCCTAGCGTAAAATTGAATTCGATTCCTGAATTAAAAACCCATTCCAATATACCACAAAAGGTTTTAGCTTTTTGGTATGTTTGCTAAAATCACGCTATATCGAATTCGTCAGACACAAGTTGTTTGTATTTTGGACATTATCACCGTTGCTGAGCTAGTCAGCAAATATTTGAGTTTGGGTATTCAGGATTTAACTAGCTGTGGCCCGATCATGCTATTTTCAAATAATGAACCGATTATATATAATTATGGGTAACAAAATAATTTTAGTCGGGGATTAATTCAATCATCTCGAAAGTTTTTGGAGTATTTATATTTTGTTCGTAATATATCCGTTGTGTGTTAAATCTTTCCGGAAATTTTGCAATAATAGTAAGGTAACTAAATACTTTGGTGTTTTGTTGGAAATGATATTTCATTGTCTCTTTAGTAGGTAAACCGTACTAGAGTTTTCTTTTTTCATTAACGTATGGTTTAATGATTAGAATACCCCTTTGTTGAGGTTGGAAATAGTGAGCTTTCAGAACATCTCGATGTTCCACAAACATAGGTCTCGGTAATGACAACATGAACCACATAATAAAAACAAAGATACTACGAGTCCGTCTGATGAACGGCTGAACTTTGTCAGTCAGTCAATAGCCTATTTTTTCGCATGCCGAAAATAGACATTTTACAAATACAAATATGTATGATAAAAATGTATTTCAGCGAAGAAGGAAACGCGATAAATGAGTGATGGTTATCGAACAGCGTCGTCTATGAAGAAGTCTAACATGAAAACAAACTAAGAAAAAAAGCCGGACATAACATTTGTGTTGGCTGGTTTCGAGACTCATATATGAAGGAAACTATCTTCCAATTTTGGGTTTCAACTTGAAAGATATTATCTAATTCTTAAAACAATAGACGTGTAAAAATTACTATAAATCTTATTCGTATCATCTATTGCTTTAGACCAGGGGTGGGCAAATTACGGCCCGCGGGCCGGATCCGGCCCACTTGAGTGTTTCATCCGGCCCACTTGTGGCGGCTGAAATTATGACTAGGATTTTTATGAATTTAAATTTCTATTGAATATATCGATGAGTTAAAATGACATTTCATTGAAAATGTCGACAACGGATCGTAAATACCGTTATTCCCTATACGTATGGATGTTTTCACCTGGTTATTTCCGTAACAATGACCAATCAGCAAAAAGTTTTAGAGGACGTCGGCTAACAATTAATATTTTTACGTAGTTTTTGGGGTTGTGCGTGGTGTTTGTCGGTTTTTAGTTATGATTCAATAAATTAGTCGTAAATGAACTGGTTTATTTGTTACTAAGTCTTTTGCTGAGCTTCGGTTTAGTTGCAATAATCAAAAAAAAAAATAATTGAGAGTTTCGTGCATAAAAATCAAAAAACCAAAACACTTGCAAAATAAGCATCTGAACTTTTAATAATAAAAAAGTATAGGGAGAATTTGTCTGCGGTCAAGGGTCTGGAAAAGGTTCATTTATTAAAAGCACCTGAATATTACGTGCAAAATCATTCATCCGAACTATTTATACCATTCAAGAACTCTAGCACCTGATATATCAGTATTTGGGCCTGCAAATTTTTTTTGCGTTCGTTAATGTCCCAACACATGTTAATTTTGTTTGCCTAGTACTGCGACTCTCAAAGTGGGTGATCCCCCCCGTGGAAGTGAAGGAGAGTTAAGACATGGGGCAAGAGGCAACTGCGCATTACTGAGGATATGGATAAATATAAATCTCCGATTGTTTTCTTCAGCATGACATGGGTATTTAAGCCGTGAACATCGGTATTATGTCGGCTAACTATATTATGTCGAATAATCCCTATCTCTTGGTACCGTTGAATTTATCCAATAACTTCATAATGACCTCACTAGTTAGATTGTGCTGTCTTTAATATGAACGTTAGTCTAGCTGTTGAACTGCTTTTTTTCTCTGCAGCTGCCGTAATTTGCCATCCTCTGTAATAACGCCCCATTAATCGTTATGTCTACGTATTTACAAATTACAAACCGTTTTTGATCATATTGAGTTTTGATCCTCCGGCCCAGTAATCAAGTCTATTATCCGAATCCGGCCCACTCAGAAAAGTAATTGCCCACCCCTGTTTTAGACCTAACAACTAGTTTTCATTTATTTGGTGGAAGCTGCGTATGATTAATTAGCAAGCACTATCTTGAAACTCCAAATTACTTCCATTCATGTTAAACTATTAGAATACTTTTAGTACAAAACTTCTTATCGCACATTATACAGACTGCGGTCATATTTATGTGTTAATAATATTTAGTTGATTCCGAAAATCATTATTCAATAATTATTTGAATAGATTTGTTTACCGTAATGCCAATAAGAGAAAAGAAACAAAACTTTCTTCATAGACTCTAGTAGGATAACAAAACAAGATTTACAATTAGGCATAAGAATGTTTGTCCGACTATAACCAATTCAAATGCCTTCCCACACGACCCTAATAATGCAAACAATTTTTACATATGTATTACCGAAGCAAACAAGCATGCTCATGTAAGCTGACTGACACTTGAACGTAATACGTTTTAAATCCACTTTAATAGTGAGCGTTAGAAATGTGTAGGAAATGTCTGAGGCTGTAGATCAGACATGGGCAAACTACGGACCGCGGGCCAAATCCGGCCCGTTGGTTGATTCAATCTGCCCAGCCTGATGCATATGCCTTCATAAATTTCTGCTTTTAACCAATTCTACATGTAGTACATAGAAGTTGTTATTCAAATATGTAGGGTGCAATAGGCTTGTAAGATTATGATCGTAGTTTGTGTAAGTTTCAGGTTGCCACAGACTTTCATGTTATAATGGCGCTACAAAACTTTACGTTTTCTAGCTCACCCTTTTCGACGTCGTGCTTCTTAAACCCCATTTTCCGCACTATAAAGTTTAGTTAACGTCTTTATATCGCTCTTTTAACATTCTTTTTTATGCATAGTTCACGCATTCTGTTCATAAAATGTAACTTTTTACGTCACACTTGCATGGCCCGCCAGTCTAGGTGGGCAACATTTTCGGCCCCTGGTCCGAAAACCTTGCTTTATAAAATATTGAAATATTATTTTGTTGAATTACAGCTGGAATTTACTATACATTGCTGATTATTCTACTAATCAAATAGTAAACATTGCACATATTGTGCAATTTATAGGAAAGTCAACAATGGAAATGAAACCAATTATTTATTAGATTTGTAGATTTGCTCAAAGAACACACAGTCTTCTCTATAATGAAGTTTCGTTGTATGTCATATTGATATGTTATATTTTTTATTTATACTTTTGCACGCGTTCTTGGGTTAATACACATTTGATACTTTGGTTGCTTTTATTAAAATGAGTTGTTGACAAGAAAACCTGATTGTTTGATTTGAGAACATTTGTCTTCCTAAATGACATTTTCGACAACAACAATCAGTTCCAACATAAAAATATTGTTAAGTGTATATTTTTTTACACGAAGAACAATGTATATACAGTCTTGAAGGAAGATTGAATATTCAAATTGCCCGATAATAAACCGTACAGCACTGTCCCGCGACATGTACATCATGATGAACCGCCATTCTATTCTGCCTCCCGTTAAATAATAATTTACACTCTTTATACTAATGTTATATGAGATATCAACTTCAAAGCAACTATAATAGAAAAACAATAATCAGACATACGGACATGACGACTGTATGATCATCTTGAATATGTTTTTATCAATTGGGTATAAAGATTGTGAATATTTATATTATTTATAATAAAGTAAGATAGATTTAAAACTAGTTTTGTGGAAAAACAATCATTAATTTGGTGATAGGCTATTTCAGTGAAACTACGAGAAATAAATGTACTTGATGGCAATGGAACTGGTTATTTCTGCAAAACTACTATGTCAATGTTAGATCGATCAATCACAGCAGCGCAACCTTGCGCACCTTGATTCACATTTCCTGGTCCCGGTAGGAAGGAGAACGTGTTTGTCATGCTTGAATGAACTTCGTCTTGACCTGTTTTCATCATGTCGATTTTGTAGGTTATTTCTTTCCCCGCAAGTAAATTGCCAATGGTGAATCTAGCCTTAACCACCGAGTCGGAAAACCATAGCCTGTTTGTAAAACTCATGTGAGCAATGCTCTTCTGAACGCCCAAGCCAAGCAAATAAAGCAGAAAACGAAATCTAAAACGAAAAGCAATGTCATAATAAAAATAAGAGAACAGTTTAAAAATATAGAATAAAAAGAACAATTCAAATTGAAAATATATATTTATGGATTTATGAATGATGGAACTAATGCTTCTACGCTGATATTTAATAACCAGAAATGACAAATACTAATTGTGAAGTGAAAAGGGATTCATTAATGGTTAGAGATAAACGTTGCTAACTTACGGTGAAAAATGCATCACGGAAAATGAAAACTCCCCCCTTTCTCCAAGTGTTGTTTCTTCATGTAAATCCCAAGAATGTCCAGTTTCTACCTGCGAAACAATCAAAATTTGAATTGATAAGTTTTTTTGAGTAATATAACGTGATGTATCATGTAATTTTTCCATCGTATTTTCAAAGTAGATTTAAGCCCTGTTTTTAACAATTGCTCAGGTCAACAACTCATTTTTCAATTGTCACGTGAAGGAATACAGGGTGGCCCAAAAGTAGGTATACAGTTATTTTATTTATTTTTATTACCTTCCAAGCAGCTAGAAAACTAATGTTAAATTCACACTAGATATATTATCTAAAAAATAAGCAATTTTCGTGGTACTTAAAACAAGTAACATAAAGTGAACTGCAAGTAACTTCAAAGCATATAAAATAGTTTAATAACTGTATACCTACTTTTTGGGCCACCCTGTGTATTTATTGGAGTTGTTTCTTATTATATCGTTCAATTGAACATGATATTTTTAATATACTTACTCTTACTTGAGGTGAATCACATCCTTGAATCTTGTGATAGCATGAAGTTACAGTAATTACAACCGGTTTAAGAAAAGTTATTTCAGAAGGACTGAGAACAATTTCTGTTCCAAACAACAGCCATTCGTTTACTTTATTCTTTCGGTAGGTAATGAAAGATATATATATTTAAACAAGTGTCTGGAGATCACAAATTTGTTATTGATTCAAATATTATGGTAAATCTTGCTGTTACAGAATATGAAATCTCTAGACAGTTTTTATCCCAATTCCATAATTTCACCCAAGGTGTATTATATATGCTATTTTATGTGAAATAGGTGTATCTTCCAGGGCCTTGACAAACTAAAGGCTACATTGTATTTCATTAAAATACTAGTCGAATCCAAAATTTATAACCTAAATAGTATATCTTAAATTGAAGTCAAGGTTATACATCTCAGGCTCCACGATTCTAAATTAAATCAAAAGAATTTGTTGATTTGTTTATGGATAGACTCAATTTATTGGGGCACATTTTTTTTCAATTTTTGTGGCTCTCGATTCACTACACTCGGAGTAATCAACTACCAGCCTTCTGTATTTCTATAAAATAATCCCTCCCATTTATTTATTGCAATTTTTATATCTTATGCAAATTACTTCATTTTTCTTTCATAAACTCATTGGGCATAGTTTGAAGAATAAAACTATCTATATGATCTGGAAAAATCTCACAAATTGTATTGCTTAAAACTCGCAATCCACAAAACCGACAATTCATTCAGTTGTTGTTCCTGAATGTGGCATAAACGTAATATATAATTGTATTTAGGTTATTTCAACTCTCTAATTTAGTGTGCAATCTAATACTTATAAAAAATTTCACACAACATAGTGAAAACTTCACTCAATGTACTTCATTGGACGTTAAACCTGAAATTAGAGATTTTAAAAGACTTATCAGGAAATACTGAATTGACCAAGAGTTCAACAATAAAAACAACCAACCTGTTCCCATTTTACGAACTTCACTTCTAATTTTATTTCCACTTCTCGCGTCAATGCATCTTCTGGTATTACGACTTCACAGCCGCATAGTTTAAGTCTCCCACCGCGAGAATCTATTTTGCTCTCGAAAGAATATCTTCGCTTCACTAGGGGCGGGCTTGTTTTACAAAAAGAAATTTTATGCTGACTAACGTTGAATATAATATTTTGTTTGCTTGGGCTTTTTGCCAAAATCTTCGTTTAAAGCGAAAGTATGGTTCACCTACTAATATTAAATTTGAATTTTATTCTGTTTGAGTTTCAAACTTTAACGGCATTACTTTTATCACTACATATTCGCGCCATAAAATATTATACGACTTATGGGGTGTTATCTGAATGTTAAATTGAAATGTGCGAATCTTACAAGTAATAATACATAACTTCTAGAACTTTTTTCAATGTGACAAAGCGACTGGATTAATGTTATTACTGATTTGTACAACTACATTTTAAATGTAAGTTATCAAAAATACTCACGACATTGGTGTTGATATGCTGACATTCTCTGATTGATTTTTAAATGTTGATAATTCTAAAAACAAAAACAAAAAATTGTACCTATAAGTGCATTAATTTTCAGTTTTTACTGTGCAATCGATATTTATTGAAATCACATTTTAAATTTCCATTTTTGCAATATTTAACATGCACTGGCACTGTGAATCAAAAATATTTCATCGAGAAACTTTTTCAGAGGCTAAATTTGCCTTCCACTATAACTGGACTCAGTATCATTAGATTAACTTTTGTTTGAATTATTATGGGTGGGGGAAAAGTTGATTTTGACAAAATAATAAAAATGAACTCACTCTGAAGGATTGAAATTTTGTGTTGGTCTATTGGATAGATAATCCAACTCTCGTTATAAGCGATTGATTTTGCACTTGGCGACTCATAGACAGGACTTGATTTGCCTGGATCGATCAACTTATCTCGTGTTTTATTGAATTCAAACTCTTTAGCATCATCATATTTAACTGCTCCTGTCACGGGTTTTCCAGAATGCCATTCCTATAAATATAAGTTACAATCATGAAATGCGAAACACGATTATCCAGTGTTATATTTTACTGCCCCACTGTGCTAACATTGTAGAATGAAACTTTTATTCAATTTTCATCGTCAGCAACTCATGAAGCGTATAACATTTATAATGTTACATCGGCCTAGAAATATTTCTATTGTCCCAATAATACAGCGTTGTTTCCATAACGATTGATGCTTGTTTAATGCCCTTTGATAGCGAGTGCCTTAATGACATTCCAATGAAAAGCGATTGAAATTAAAGAAAAACGATTTACTTGAGTCATCATTAGTTCTTTATCTTCTTGTTCATCCATATCTATAATTCGATTAAAATATATCTAAGTCGTTAACTTAATATCCGAGTAAATGTTGGTATTTATGAATACGATAAAGTTTATTGTCTCTTTTTCCTAACATTGACTCATATTTACTATTATCTAAAACTATTTTGGTACGTATGAAGCAAATAATTAAATCTCCATATAGTTCTATTATATCCTAAATTACAGCTATTCTCTGTCTTTAATTTAATCCGTACAGCCTCGAAATACGTTAAACATTTCTCCGCATAGTTCTGGCAATTCTTCATTGAATTGACACAAATTTACAGCCTTATCCAGAAAAATTTTCTTTGTACTTGATATATGTATTGTTACTATTGTGCACCGATCTCGATACGAATATGTTCTGCCAAGTTTAACCCATGCGTAGAATAAATGTAACTACAAAAACTAAATTTCCTCCCTCTATAAAAAATTGTTCGACTTCTACGATATTTGCTGTTTGCGAAGACGTTTTATCGTAACACCCGGATTGTTTGCAACTCGGACTTTGCTACCAAAACTCTTTCATGGGATATTAAATAGAGTTAATATAGTTTTTTATCTGTTGTTTCTGTTCAATTCGCGTTGATGTGACGCAGCATTGTTCCGGCCGATGAGGGACAATAGATGTGCGGTAACAAATAATCAAAGAATTCAACGCACGACTACGGATTGATATAGGCAATTCATCTTAAAATAATGAATTAGATTCGTAAATTATTTGAGGAAGAGTAATCTATATTACTCAATAAACTTCATATCACAATGGGAGTGATACCTGCCTTATATTTATAACATATATTTTCTCAAAATTGAATAATATTCTTCTGGGCCTGTTACCTATATATTCAAGTAACAAAAATTCACAGCTTCTTCCATTGAAACTGCTTTTAACGTAATAGGTATAAATATATTGTTGCTATGATGCCCACAAAATAAGACAGGAATACAGTTCTGCCACGTTAATTCGGAGAGTGCAAATATTAGCTACCGAAATTAAAGTTTCTTTTCTCGAAATTTAATTAACAGTTCTCTTTGTGGTCGTGTTAAATTTTCACTCCAATTATAAAAATTTACAGCTTCTTTTATTGAAACTGTTTTTAACGTAGTATATATATATGTTGTTGCTATGTTGCCCACCAAATAGGATATGAAATACAGTTCTTCCAAGTTTGATCCAAGGGTGTAAAAAATTTGCTACCGAAATTACTTAAATTGAACTTTTACGATATTTGCTCTGCGTGAAGACGTTTCATCACAACACTCAAGTAGTCTAAAATTCAGACGCTATTACCGAAGATATTCCAAGGAATATTGAATTTACTTTTTTAATCTGTTGTTTCTCTTCAATTACAAGTGAAGCAAATTGCGTTGATGTGACGCAACTTAGTTCCAGCCATCTAAATTAATTACTTAACTGCATATCACTATTGCACTGATCCCTGTACTTTACCCAACTCATATTTCCTCGAATATAAATAAATATTTCTTTGTGTGGTCCTGTTACCTCTTCATTCCCATAATTAGAATTACCACCTCTTCCATAATGAAACTGCTTTAACGTAATGTATTTATATATATTTCTATGTTGCCTACCAAATAGGATATGAATACAGTTCTGCCAATTTAATCCAAGAGTTCAAACATTAGCTACCATAACTAAAAGTTTCTTTTTCCGAAATTTAATTAACAGTTGTCTGTGTGGTCCTGTTACCTTTTCATTCCAATAATAAAACATACAGTTTCTTTCATTTAAATTGCTTTCAACGCAATAAATATTTAAGATATTCGCTGTCTGCGAAGACGTTCCATCAAGTCACTCAGGTTGCATGCATCAATATGGCGGTAACTAATTTTGTTTGCCTACTTTACATCAAGTTGTGTAAAGGGACTGAAACCTATGGGCAGGGGGTATATCCATCTAATTTGAGGTGTTTTATATTGAAATGAGTTGTTGACCAGTATTCCAGCTTGTTTAACTGGTGAATATTTGTCTTCTATTATAATATGTTAACATGAAACATTGTTTATTTACATATGCATCCTTGCAAACATTTGCTTATATAATTATTCACAAATGAGCGCCAAGAACAGGACGTGACTACGATTGAGAAACCCACATTCAAAATCATGTTTCTTGCTTCACTTTTTTTCCAAATGACTGACTTTTTAAACAAATAATCTAGATAGCGATTGGAGACCGCCGTCTTATCGATCCGCGTGTACAAAAAATAACTAAACGCACCACATCGCAGACATGGCATTGTTACACACACAATCGTTCGCAGCGACGAAAGTTAGGAGATCCCCCCAAAAAAGAAACTGCGGTTTCGATTTCTTCGCTTTGACTCAATAGCGACACCACGTGTCCCATCACTAATTAATTAATAACTTGCTAATTATACGAAATGGTTCATCCAAAATCAATAGGATTCTGGTCCGAGATAAGATGAATATACATGAAAATTTGGAGCAGATTCAACCTCGCTTTTGTGAGATATTGCGTAACATACGAAAGTGTCTAACAGTCAATCTAGATAGCGATCGGAGACCGCCGACTCATCGATCCGCGTGTAACCGAAAAACCTAAACGCTCCACATCGCAGACAGGGCATTGTTACGCACACAATTGTTCGTTCGCAGCGAAGAAAGGTAGGGATCCCCAAAACAGAAACTGCGGTTTCGATTCCTTCACTCTAAATCAATAGCGACACC